TTTTGGTCTTGTCCTTCCTCACACAGCAGGTTCACTTCCCCTAGAACTCATCCATTTCTGGAACACAAAAGAATCTCCAAATGGTGGGTAATAATGGGAAATGTGAGTGTCAATTTCTTTTCATGCTTTCCCCAAGATAAGAAAGACACTAGCTCTGAAACGTAGGCCCAGGCAGCCTGCAGCCTCCACAGAAAGATCCTGAAACTCAGGGCAGCTCTAGGCTGCTAAACAAGCCAACCAGGAAGCTTGCCTCTTCCAGATGACAGCACCTCTGAAAAGCTGCTAGGAGCTGAGCAAGGGATGGGGGCAGAGGATGCTTGCCCAGCATGTACAAAGTTCTGGGTTCAGTCCTCAAGGGAGAGCGACAATAACTTAAAAAGAACATAAAAAAAGTCAAAAGAAGCAAACATGCACTTGGTAGAATTTTGGACACTGAATACCACAGGAGGCCAGTTTAACAGAGCTCAGGGGAAGAGCCCAGTCCCTTTTCAGCCTTCGTGGACTTTTCACAGTCAACTCTACAGCTGTCCTCACTGAAAGCAGAAACCTCTAGCTGTCACTGTGGAGGCCTGCAAGTCCTCCCTCCATCGTCGTCACCGTGTGTTTCCTTATTCTACCCCCAAGTGCTAAACTTCTACCACTGCTGGGCTGTCTCCGGGATCCAGTATAGGCTGGTGTCCAGTATCAGTATCTATATCTTTTTATATGTCTTTCAGGGACACTGTGAGCCAGATTCCCCCACTTAACGCCAATGCGTCTAGATAACGACGTGTGTTGTTAGCAAGTGAAATGTCACTCAGGAGTTTCTTTTCTTTAGTTTCAAACATTTGAACCCTACAAGAGAAAAGCCATTATGGGTGATGATACCTACGGCTTCTTGTGTGGTTCTCTCTGCTTCCCAGTACAGACCAAGCAATTGGCAGTGTGGAACCTATTCCCCGTTCCTTAGCTTTCAGCATCTCGTTTCAGACTGGGAGTGCTCGCTCTGCCCCTTGCTGATCCATATCGTGCATGAATGTCATCACAAGGGTCGACAGCACGGGGCTGCATTGGGAACTACAGGTAAAGAATACGGAGGTCCTGGGAGGCAGCGCTGCTGACTCAGCAACAGGGCAAAGGTTCAGTAGTTTGTGCACTACCAAAGTTTCCTTAGTTTGGTCAGGACATAAAATGAAGAAAGCTCCCTCGGGGTAAAATGGAAAGGGAGCTATCATATTGATATAGGACAGAACTGGGGGAGATCCTAAAAAATTACAAAGCAAATAAGTGAGAAGTGCTGAACAGGAAAGACTGCCTCAAAGAGGAAAAGCCTAAACGTTGAAAGAATCACAAGGACTTTCAAAGGTATTATTAGGTCCACGTCTGGGGGCATTAAGAATTTAAAAAAATAATAAAATAAAATAAAAAATAAAGTTTTATAGTCATAGAGAAAAAAAAGAATTGCTTGCTTGTTCCTTCCATCTCTAAACACTTTACACCATAGATTCCTAGAATACTGGAAATCACCATGCCCGCGTGCACGCACACACAGAAGCAGTGACATAGAAACTGATTTACGGGGTAAATAAAGCAGGCTGTTTTCATCTCACGGCTTTCACCCTGTGAAAATGCCTAACGGGGCCACACAACAGTCTGGTAGCTGTGGAATGTTCTCTACTTCACAAAGCAACTTGCTACATGCAGGAACTAAGGAGGGCCCTGCCATGGTTTTGCTCAGTGACGTCTACCAGAGTAATAGTTTTTGTTGTTGTTGTTGTTTTGTTTTGTTTCTCCCTGAAATAAAGGAAAACTATCAAGCCTTGGAGTTACATTTCCTAGAGTTAGTAGACACAGAAAGCAGCGCTGACTGATGGGTAGGCAATTGCTCTTGCAATTATCTAGAAAAGTAAATCCCCTGTTTTGAAGGTCCAGGGTCTGGCTGTGGTGATGGGGGATCTCCACTAGCTCCTTGGAAATCCTCAGTGGCTAGAAGCGCATCAGGGCTGGGGGCTCTGCTGGCCACATACTAACTACCGGCTGTAAAGCACTGACATTCTGCTTCTTATCAGCACCAATTTTCCTTGGGAGGAGGGAGATGTTTTACCATTCCTGGGCCTTACCCAGAAAGAGAAAATATTTTTTATGGCTTCCACGCTTGTTTACAAATTAATCTTTAATTTGTAAAACCAAATAAACAAACAAACAAGCAAAAAAGCCTGCTGTCATGACACCTTCTAAATTTCCATGAAAGCTGTATGAAGCACAGTTTAAGTGCCTGGACTGACAGTGTTGTAGACCAGTTCTGGAGCATTCTCTAGTTCCTGTAAATCAGTGAAAAATGCTGACAGGTGTTGAAGGAATTCTTATTAGAAAATAAGTTTCAGCCTGAGAAACCCATCCAGATTTATGTTTCCTCGACTTGGACAAATGGCGGACTTTGGTTTCATTTTCCAGCAGGCCTGAGAAGTGAGCCACAGTTGGAAAATGTGAAGGTCCAAGTGTCTCCAATTCCTTGTGTACCCTTGCCCCTAGCAAAAGAGCACTCATGAAAAGTCCCTGGACCAGAGTCTGGCTTAGGCCTGGACTTGGAGTCCTAAACATCCGAGGACCTCACTTCCATTTATCTTAATCGTTGTGCTCTACAAACCTCCACTTGAGAACATCCACACTTAGCCCTTCCTAGAGTCAGGAACCTTGGGGGGGTTGATGCGCCTCTGCTTCATCTAAACTCAAGAGAGCTGATCATGCTTCCCCCAAAACCTGATCAGTCAACAATTAAAAACTTGGCTCTTAATTATTATGGATAAACATATCCACCCACACAGGGATGTCTGGGAATAAAACAATCCTTCTGGATTCTTGAGGGGCTGTTTCTAGAACGAAAAACATGCAAGTGTTCGAGTATGTTCTAGAGAAGAAACAGCTCTTAAACCAATAAAAATACAAATCGTTCAGAAGCACCAGTGGATGGAATTACCAGTTCAGGAAACCCTGCAGCTCACGTTTTCATGAGGTGCTTGGGAAGTTTCGGGCAGCCACTTAAGGCATACCAGCTTTCATGGTCCTGCTTCACAGTTTTTAATCTCAGTGCTCCAAGAAGCTAGCCAACACGACCGGAGTCTTCAAACTATTATCCTAACAGGAATTGGGCCTCGAGGGACTTCCACAGGCTTGCCCTGCCTTTCCTTCACACACACACACACACACACACACACACACACACACACACACACACACCCTGCCAGCTACCACTAGGGCACTGCACTAACTATGGCGACCTCCTAGGGGGTTCACAGGCTGCAGTTCACTGGTTCTTAAAGTGGCCACACTCATGGATAATTTTTGTGTCATTATGCAACTTTGCTCCTACTGAGACTCATGCTCTTCCACAACTCTCTGTAAAGGAGGCTGTGAAAGCGGGTATGGAAATAGCTTTGCCCACTAAACCCCGTTTCTCCCAGTGATTGGTAGAGCCAAGAGCAAGATGACACTTCGCACTGATCACCACCAGGTCTCTTCTCTGCAAATTCGACAATCACCCATTGGCACGGGAGTAATAAAATGTTTAGCAAATTCCCCCGGTGGCTCTGGGCTGTCTAACTTCGCGGTTTTGATAGTTTATGATTGCATTCTGATTGGCTTTACAGCTTGAATCTTTTCCCTTACTTCTCTACCTTCAAAGGACACAGCACCCCAGAGTTGTATGGTGGGTGACAATGGGAAATATAGAACCGGACTCTGCACCACCCCCACTCCCGTCACCCAGAGATCCACCAGTGAAGGGTGCGGGCGCCCCGCCAGGACGGGTGCGATTCGCTCGCGTTTATCAAATCCTTATCGGTGCACTGAGGTGGGAGCCGTCACTTTCGGCCAGAGGATACACTGTTCCTGGCTTGGGTCCCTACGTGCAAGTCCAAACAAAAGCCAATCTGCTCGGGGTCTGAGCCCTCAGCGCAGTCCTTTACCAGCCTGGCTGTGGGTGTCTCATGGCTCGCGCCACTCCGCCGTCACGCGTTCGATTCCGGTCACCCTAGCCAAGTTTCGGAGCACAGAGCTGGACGCTCTAGCACAAGGCTCGCACCGGTCGAAACAGGAGCAAAGGGACAGGTGATCTGCCACAAACTTTTGCAGGAGGCGAGCGTGTACTCAGGTCTGCGTGGCCGCATAGTGCGCTCCCACCCAGGCTCTGAGAGGGCCCGGTGTCGACAGATCCGGGGCGGATTGAAGGAGACTCAGGGCAGCGCGAGTTGGCCAGAGTTGCCTCTCACCCAGTGCGGAAGGGTTCGCAAGGGCAAGCCTTCGTGGCTGCCCTTCTCTGTCTTCTTCAGACACTCGGAGAGGCCCGGTGTCGCAGTCCTCTCTGCACATTAAAACACCTGCCCCCGCAGGGCAATCCAGGTCACTACCCACTCTCTGCTGGAGTTTAGATATAGGGAGAGCGAAAGGGGGGGTGTATCCTAAAACTTGAGTGCCTTCTGGAGCAGGACAGTTGGCCATGTTCCGGCTCCTCGGGCCAGGGCGCGCCCCCGAGTTGCGCTTTGCACTCTGTCCCTTGCTGGTTTGGGGGCATACAGCCCGCATAGAAGCGCTCTCGAAAGACCTGGAGGGTCTTAGTTAGAAAAGAAAAGCGTGTCTGCTGCTCCAACAGATAAATCCAACAGAAAGACGAGGGTATCAGTCCAGAAACATTTCAAACCACTGGCTGGGGGAAACTTGGTGCCCTGGGGACTACAGACTTTGGAAGGCGCCACGGAAGCACCCCTGACCTCCAGGGTCATCTCTCTGTGTCTCAAGGTCTTGAACTATTGGATTCGCGACTCAATTTTGCCAAGCCACAGCTCCGCGTACCTAAAGCCCGCACCTGCTCACTCTCTCACCCGCCCCCCGCACCCCAAGAGCGGTCCTCCTTCTTCCCAGACCTCTCGCGTCCCTCTTGCAAAAGTGCCCCGGGTCGCGCCCGCCTCGCGCAGTTCCACCACTGTCCGGGACCGAGTTGGTCGCCGGCTCCGACGCCCGCTTACCTTTTCTTCTCCTTGTCAGCTGTCATTGTCGCCTTGTTCCTCCGAGACCCGGAGCACCTGGGTTCCTTAGGCCCGTAGGGGCTGCAGCCGCTGCCTTTGCGGTGGCCCTCGGCGGCTCTCTGTCGCCCCAGCAGGTGTGAAAGGTCTTTAGTGCTCACAGGTCCGAGTGTCCCGCACAATCAGGTGGAAGTTTGCGGACGGCTGGCTAGGTGCGGAGGAGGAGGAGGGAGGAGAGGGGTGACAGGGAGGAACCTGCAGGAGGAGGCGGGGCCAGGGAAAGGAGTGGGAGGAGGTTGTAAGACGCCAAAAGGGAGTAGCGACAAGGGACCTGAAGTTCCGTTTATCCGCGAACAGGAGTCAGTTTTCTGGGATTTCACAAAACAAAACCAACCAACCAACAAACAAAAAAATAGTGGTTCGAAAAGAGCGAGTTAGAAGAAATCCGGGGCCAAGCGAGTGCGGCCGCTGAGATGACCATACAGTCTCAGGACACTGCCGAGGATTGTACGGCCGCCTCAGGAGACCTGGAGCGGAACGCTGGGGACTCCGAAGCTGTGCACCGGCCGCTCTCGAATGTCCGGCTTCCTCAGCTGCCAGCCCACTTTAAAAACTCGGACGGCCCGCCCGCGGGAGGGAGCGAGGGGCGCGGGAGTCCCACAGTGGGCCGGGGGTGGGGCCGGGGCGGATCCTGGGCGGGGCGCCACGCAAGCTCCGCCCCCGCCCTCGGGCTGCCGGCCCACCGCATCCTAGCCAATGGGGAGGCGCAACCACAGCCTCTGCCTTGACCCCGGCCCGCCCCTTTCTCCCGGGCTGCGCTCCTCCAGCGCTCGCCCAGCCCTGCCTCCTCTTTCCGCAGGTCAGAGACTTGTTTTTGTGTATGCCTGGTGGCGAGTAGCTAAGTGGGACTCCGGGCGGAAAGGCTCAGTTAGCGCGGAATTGAATAGTGGCCGGGGTCAGCTAATTGAGCCCAGAGTGTGCCTTCGCGCGAGCGACCTCTCATCTGCACTTTTCCCTGAGAGCCAGGGCAAAGCGCGGGGTCCGGGGTCCAGCGCATAGCGGGGATCCGGGACGTGCGGCGCAGCTCCCGGGTATTGCTATGAGTCCCTGCCCCAGGTGCGTGGCTCCCTCCGGTCGGTGAGAATAATTCCCAGGACTCCGACCGCAGTGCTGTTTGCCTGCCTTGGCAGTGTGCTCATTTTGGCGAAGCGTGGCTGAACTTGACTTCTGAGTCCTGAAAGACAGGGGGAGAAAATTGTGGGAGAAAACGTGACAAAAATGATCTTGGGTTGTTCTGCCGGTGTCTTTTCCTCAACCGGGTTTACGGTTGAGGTGCCGCGCATGCTAGAGAGTAGGGCCTTGGAGTCCTCTGGCCTGCTCTGCCAGCTCTCTATAAATAACCCAACATCACTGTGGGTTCCCTGGTGTGATCTTAGGAGTGAGAGTTGACAAGCAGACCCCAAGTCACTGGATTTGCCAGCCTTCTAAGGCTCCAGAGTTATAGGACGATAACAACAGCTGCGGGAAGTGGTGGTTCTAAAGTCCCACACAGGCAAGCAGAGAACTCTTTGGTCTTTTCTGCCTGTGAGATGTTCCTGCCCTGCCAGTTTTCCATTTCCTACGTGGTGATCAGAGGGAAATCTCCAAAAGAAACCAGGGAAGTCTCTGATTTTTGAAGACTGGGAGAAAGGCCGTGGGCTCCAAGTGTGTGAACTGCCAAGAGAGCAAGCTCCTGCAAACTGAGCCATCCTAGGACCCGTACTTACTGGATTATTCTCGCACCAACATTTCCTAGTAAAAGTATAAGCAGAAGCGGGGTGTGTATTGGGGCCGAGGGTGTATCTTAGGTTTGTGTAGGCACACAGGAAGATGGGCGCTTTTCAGGAGACTTGGGAAGGTTTCTTGAAAGAATGGGGAGAGTGGGGAAAAGGTGGAAAAATCAGAAACGAGAGACCCTTTCCTTGAGAACTTGGAAATGAATTTACACACATGACTGTGAGTTCAAAGAAGCCAGCGGATGACTTCTCACGACACTTCTCCAGCCAGACAACCCTATTGGACCCATTTGTTTGTCTTTCTTAATGAGAAATCCAAATTAGTAGGTATGGTTATAATAAACTATAAGCATATCTACTTCACTTAAAACTGGGATGGAGGGAGGGGGAAAAGAGTCAGATAACAAAAACCTCAAGCACTTTGGCAACATCAGGGCCCTAACGTTGTTTTCCACCAGAGCTCCTGAATCCTAAGCTGCTCTTGACAAGTGACTAAGCAATACCTCTAACCCGCAGGGGACATTTCAGTAGGGCTGAGGTTATGAAATTTGTCTGGGAGATTTTTGTTTTTAAGAGGAAAGGTAGGGCCTGGAGGTGCAAGTTTGTGTGGGGCCCTGGATTCAACCCCTAGAAGGCGGACACTGCAAAAGTCACTCAAGAACACAGCAACCATATCAGCATAGCTCCTTCCCCATACTAGCATCCCCTTCCTAACTGGGATTTTAACCAATAAGTGAAATGTGTCTATAAGATTCCCAGAAGGACCCAACCTTGCATAAGGCAAAACCATCTGACCTACCTAAAGCCTCTTTATAGGTCTGCCAGAATTCAGTCAACAACCTTTGTAAGGAACTGAGAGTATAAGCCAGACATGGCGGTTTTTGCTGTTTCAGCATCCACGGATGAGCTTAGGTCTTTGGTTCCCTCCAGTCTTTGGAGAGTAATCCATTAGAAGAATGAGCTGTTGATAAGGGCTAACCTACAAACCTTCAGAGAGCAGCCACTGGGGATGTAGCAGGAAGGTGTGAGGATGACTCAGTAATCCTGTCAAAGTGACAGCCATGACCCAGGATACGGTTTGTGATCAGGTTGGAGTGGGTGGGACTTAGCAGAAGAGACCTTGGAAGGCTGAGCTGTTGCTTTAGCGTTTGACAGACTTTCAGTTCCTTGTACAATGGGATCAAGAAGAAACAAGAGTGGCCCCTAGGAATCAGAAACTGGAGGAGACACTCAAAGTCACAAAAGCCCACGTTTGCCACTGTTCTATGTGTATACTGTCTCATGTGACAGCCCTCTGATCTCAGACTGGCCATTTAGTTGGTTTGGAATTGTCAAGAACACAGAGAGGAGAGGATGGCCTATCTGGGAGAAGCTGTTGCTCCTCCTCCTTGAGAAACCTTTCTGACTCACCCCCCAAGAGTTAATCTGCATTCATCAACTCACCAGGTTTAGAATTCCTTTGGAAACACAACTCTGAGCCACGGGATTCCAGACTGAATGAAGGGAGGAGTGCTGAATACCGGCTTCTCCTCTCTCCTCCTCCTCCTCCTCCTCCTCCTCCTCCTCCTCCTCCTCCTCCTCCTCCTCCTCCTTCTCCTCCTCCTCCTCTTCCTCCTCACTGCAAACAGACACAATATGGTGTTGCACCTACAGGCATTCTCACCACTACACCATCCCCACATGATGCCTGGTCCCCTTGAAGCCTGGGTCAAAGAAAACCCACCCTTTCTTAAACTGCTTTGGTCAGTTGTCTTGTCACAATAAGAAGTGTTTACTCTTATTCATAGAGGCACCACTGCGCGCGCGCGCGCGCACACACACACACACACACACACACACACCTTCATTCAGCCCATTCTATAACTTTATGAAACCTATTTTCTATATTCACATCTAACCCTGAATTCTGGTACCAGAAAGTCATCCTGTGCCTGGCTCCTGGCCAACATCCTAAGGTCATTACATAGACACATGCTATATATGCTATTAAACATTATGATTTGGGGGCCATACACTCAGGATCTGTTGTCTTTTTAAAGAGGTTCTGTCATTTTATTTGGAGGAACGGGGTCAAACAGGTTATTTTTCTTCTTGGCTGTTTAAGTGACTCCCGATAGAGTTATCTGGCTACACCCTATCCCACTGCCGCTCCTTCACACCTGGACTGCTAGTGATTTAGAGACCAGTGGCTTCTGTTGGCCCCCGCTCCTTCACACCTGGACTGCTAGTGATTTAGAGACCAGTGGCTTCTGTTGGCCGGTCTAGGAATCAGGTTGTAGCAGGAAAGTTGTATGTGTTTCTCCCTGGGTCATTTAGCCACAGCCATTCTGCTGTGCTACTCGATGGAAAACAACGCATCAGTCTAGTTCCCTCCCTCCTGGAGGGCCCCCATTTGCACGACACTACCTGCCTTACATTATAAGTATACATTTGCTCCCCTTTCAAGATTTTTGAGTCGTAGGTGGTGGTGGTGCACACCTTTAATTTCAGCACTCGGGTGCAGATGCAGGCGGATCTTTGTGAGTTTGAGGCCAGCCTGGTCTACAAGAGCTAGTTCCAGGACAGGCTCCAAAGCTACAAATAAACCCTGTCTCAAAAAAATAAATAAATAAAAAATAAAAAAAATAAAAAAATAAAAAAAATTGAAACCAGCAACAACTTTTAAGTTATACTGATACTTTCCATTTTCTCCAAATAGCTTTTAAATTGGTAAATGAATATAATTGTGCTGGTTAGTTGGTTTGTTGTCAACTTGACACAAGCTAGAGTCAAAGGGGGAAGCTCTATTGAGAAAATACTTCCATCAAAGTGCTCTTTAGGCAAGTCCTTGGGGATTTTCTTAGTTAATGATGGTGAGAGGGCCTCGCCCACTGTGGGCGGCACCATCCCTGGGCAGGTGGTCCTGCGTTGTATAAGAAAGTGAGACAAGCAGTCTGTGGACAGTGAGCTAGTAATCAGCATTCCTCCGTGGTCTCTGCTTCATTTTCTCCCTCCAGGTTCCTGCCCTGATTGAATGCTTGCTTTGACCTCCTTCAGTGATGCTTTGTAATCCGGCTTGTATAACCCAAATAAACCCTTGCCTCTAAAGCTGCTTTTGGTTATGGCGTTTATCATGGCAAAAGACAGCAAATTAGACCAATAATGGATATACTCCCAAGAGTCTCTTAAATATGAAAAGTGAGCACAAAACCATACGCTAACTCTCTGAACAATAGATAAGTGACAATTTGGTTGGGGGTTGGGGTGAAAGAGAATGAAAGGTAAAGAAATCTGGAATCCTAACTGTCCACTCCTGGGACCCAGAGAAGCTCAGCTGGGATTGGCCAGGCAGCAGATGGTGGGTGTGACATCTGAGGTGACAGAGTAGCACTCATGTGAGAAGAATGGCCAGTAGGAAAGAAACGCTAGCCCCGCCTTGGCAAAAGCATGCACAGAAATGCAACTTCTCTTGTCACTAAAAATGATGACGCTGGGCCCAGCCAGCCATCCCTGCCCTGGAGCCTGGATGACCAAAAATGGCAGAGTAAGGGTTAGAATGACCCTCAGCTAGTTAAAGTGGCCATGACCTATATAACAGGGTGTCAAAGTGAAACCAAGGTCCCAAACGGCGGATGCCCTCTGCCCCCTTTTCCAAAATGCAGAACACAAGAAATCTTTGGAGAATGGTTTCGAGTGTTTTCCCGAGCCACTGTCCACCTCAAGGGAGCACATGATTTTCCGTAAGGAAGACTCACAACTAGATTGCCAGGGTGCATTTGTCAGCATCATGGTCCACCTAAGGGA